TACTAGAGGAAAGAATATTTTAGATAAAATATTTACCAACATTTCTAAATTTTATACTTCTGCCCTGGTAATTTCTCCAATTGGACATTCCGATCATAATTCCATCGTTCTTAAACCTCTTCCAGCTAACTCTTATGGTGGCACAAGGTCTACACGCTTAGTACGAGACTCTCGCCCAACCAATCGTCGAATTGTTAGCGATCATCTGTCGAAAGTTAATTGGTTACCTTTGCACCATATGGAATCTTGTGACGAGCAGTTCCAGTATTTTTCCACCATCGTAGATAATATCATAAACGAACATTTGCCTTGGAAACAAATCAAAATTGATTCTAGTGACAAGCCTTGGATTACTTCCGAAATAAAATCTCTCATTTCCAAGCGGCAGACAGCATGGGCGGCTGGCAATAACCTGATGTTCAGATTCTATCGAAACAAAGTCAATGCACTTTGCAAAAAGGCACGACTAAATTACTACAATAAAAGTATCGCGGGCGTTCAACAGTCCGATTCTCGTAAATGGTGGTCAGCGGTGAAGAATATTGCCGGTCTTCAGTCTTCTAAGAATGTATCTACAATGATGTTCCAAGGTAAATCCTACTCTGATGCCGACTTAGCAAATTTGCTCAACGACAAGTTCGTTGCTGTAGGGTCCTCCTTACCCAATCTAAACTGGTTCCCCCTTCCCACAAATGACATTCCAGATGATTTGTGCATCTCTGTCGAGAAGACTGAAAAGGCCCTATTATTATCTAAACTTCATTCATCTGCTGGTCCTGATGAAATTCCTTCTTGGCTTCTCCGCGAAAACGCTTCAGTGTTGTGTCGACCTTTGTGTTCTATTTTTAATTCATCAGTTCGTGAAGGATTTGTTCCCTCAATATGGAAGGCAGCAAATATTACACCAGTTCAAAAATCTTCGCCTCCTAAAGATGTTGATTCTGACTTCAGGCCAATCTCCCTCACACCAATTATCAGCAAGATTCTTGAATCCTTTCCCTACAAATGGCTACTTGACTCCGTCTCAAAAAAAATTGATTCCTTGCAATTTGGTTCGCTGAAGGGTTCAAGCACTAGTATGGCATTAATCTACATGCTACATAAATGGTTTGAAGCAGCTGACAAACAAGGCAACACTATACGGATTTGTTTACTTGATTTTTCCAAGGCGTTTGATAGGTTAGATCATAACATTCTGTTGGAAAAATTGAAAGACATGGAAATTCATCCCGTGTTACTCAACTGGATCGCTAACTTCCTAACAGGCAGACAACAAAGAACCCGTGTTGGTCAGTTCTTTTCTGAGTGGAAGTTTTTAAACGCCGGCGTCCCACAAGGAACGAAGCTTGGCCCGCTATTATTTTTGATCATGATAAATGACTTGGCTGTAGCGGATGAAACTGTTAAATTTGTCGATGATACTAGCCTTTGGGAAATAATATCAAACAATTCCCCTTCCCAGTTACCCGCTAACATCATCAGCTGCTCTGAATGGTCATCAGACAATAATATGAAGTTAAACGTATCAAAGACCAAAGAATTGCGTGTCTGCTTTTCTAAGCTTACTCCATCGTTTGCCCCTATTACCATTCGCGGTCAAGAGGTCGACGTCGTTTCCGAGGCCAAACTACTGGGCGTTGTCCTTTCGGACGACCTCAAATGGAACTGCCATATTGACTACATTTGCAAGAAAGCCGCGAAGCGTTTGTACGGTCTGCGCCTTCTTAAAAGAAATGCTTTACCTTCTCATATTCTGATCTCAACCTATTGTACACATATTCGACCAATTGTCGAATATGCTTGTCAGGTGTGGCATTATGGCCTTCATCATTACCTGAGTGATCAAGTTGAAAAAAGACAAATAAGGGCATTAAAAATTATTTTCCCTGGAACTATCTATGCTGAATGTTTGCTTAAAGCTAACTTGATGACTCTTTACGAACGTAGAACTGTCCTTTGCAAGCGACTTTTTTCGAAGATGTTGGAACCCACTCATAAACTGAATGCCTTAGTACCGCCTAAAAGTCTTCAAACTTATAATCTGAGGTCTTATCCCAACTTATTAGTACCTAGGTGTAGAACTGAACGTTTTTCGAACAGTTTCATTCCTGCTGCGTCTCGTGCTTATAATAATAAGTAAACTTTAGATTATTATCGTTATTTTTATCTAACTTACCTATTTTTACCTGTAAATATAGAATAGATTGAATACCTATGTTCTTATACCCTGTAATTCCAAAGTAATTCAGTTGTTACTGCTAGTTTGGAAATTTATAATAATAATAATAATAATAATAATAAAATTGAAAGTTCAAGATGTTCTAAGCAGTTCATTAAAAGGTATCTATTATAATGTATATATATATAGATATATATAAATCTTGAAGTGAAATCTTAAATCTTTATCTTGAAGTGTTTTTCCGCAGGTATCCCACAGAGGGGAACAATAATCAAAGTAGCCCCAATTCCAGAACTGACTTTACAACATATATCAAATAGATGTGTTCATCCCAAGTTAATTTTTCGTCAATGTCCATCCCTAAACATGTATATTTGCTGGTTCGATGGACCGGAGCGTACTTTCGAGGGGAAGAGTCTGGCTTGCGAGATCGACAAGAAGATAAATCAGAACAGAATACAATACATTACAGTAGAAAGAAAGAATAACAAAATTGGTTGGTAGGGATGCAACTACCTGAAAAATTCAAGAAGAACTTCGATTTTTCGAGCGAAGGCCCTTCGGCTTCGTCATGCAATATTAAACGACGCGGTTCAATGTTGAAACGCCAATTTTCAAAACTAATTACTTAGTTTGAGGATTAAGTATGCATGGATTCTTATATGTCTTACGGTTGAATATATCAGCAATATCATTGACAATCACAGATGCATTACGCCCAGTTATTATATGTCTAATCTTCAACCAGATGAGATACGCCCAGTTTTTATGAATTATTCGATATAGTTTTACGTATTAAAAGTAGAACGTAAACTGTTAACAATTGAAACAACTTAAGAAGAATTTGTCTTGCATGCCTTTGAATAGAATATTGCCTTTGAATAGAATATTACCTTTGAATTGAGTAGACTTTGAGAGAACTTACCTTTGAATTTCACCAGAAAAACAGCTTGCAACCTTGACCGTGGACGTGGTTAAAATCAGACAGATCACAATATTTCAGCTGTATTTAAATTATTGAAGGCAGGAAGACAATATATATTTATGGTATTACGTGATGTCACCAATTTCTTATTGGTTAATACGCTTGCACCACCCCCACTTAATATTAGCAATTAACCAATGCATTACGTGCTATTGTTACGAGGTCGGTTGTTGGGGATTATAGGCTTGCGCGAGGGCCTTGTAAAGTCGGTAATCTAGAACGGAATCTTTGAATACTGAAGCCAACAAAGATTAATGCTACAACACAATTGTCTCAACAGATAGACTTTATTCGACACAGAAATGGTAGTTGGAGCTGGGGATAAAGGGTAAAACGCGGGAAAAAGGGTAAAACGCGGAAAAAAGGTAAAACGAGGAAAGAAAGGGTGAAACGCGAAAAAAAAGATGAAACGCGGAAAAAAGATGAAACGTGGAAAAAAAGGTGAAACGCGAAAAAAAGTAAAACGCGGAAAAAAGGATAAAATGCGGAAAAAAGGGTAAAACGCCGAAAATAGTGTTTGCCAACCCAATCATGACTTTTTCCTAGCCTTCGCCCTCCTTCTCTGGAGCCGTTACGTACACAGGCTAACTTTTTCCCGCTGACTTTTAAAATATATTTAAGGCAGAGTAGCGCTTGCTGAGCTATGTGTTTTAAGACCTTGCACTTACAGTTTATCGAAGCCAAACTTTGTTTTTGTTAATAAAATCAAATTTAATCTAATTAAATACCATAAAAATAATCATACGCCCACCGACTAAATAACAGTCATAAACACCTACTATGTAAAGGCTGTGTTAATACAGAGTGTATCTAAAAGTCGAGGGTCGAGAGTCGAGAGTAAAGGTCGAGAGTCGAGAGTAAAAGTCGAGAGTCGAGAGTAAAAGTCGAGAGTCGAGAGTAAAAGTCGAGAGTCGAGAGTAAAAAGTCGAGAGTCGAGAGTAAAAAGTCGAGAGTCGATCGAGAGTAAAAAGTCGAGAGTCGGCAAATGTCATCAGAAACAACAAAGTCAAAATACTTTTACAGTAACACAATATATAAGCGATCCGTAACAACGGCTGATTATAGCCGTACGGGCGAGGGGGGGGGGGAGGCAGTCCCGCACCCCAGTCAAAATAAATTCGGCCAAAAATTGGGGGAAATAAATTTAAAAAGAAGACAGTATATGCAATATGGTATTTGAAAATACCAGAAATATGTAAAAGTAACGAGGAATCGACAAATAGGAAAATATTTTTGTCTACTTCCCAACGACAATTTTGGAAATTTAGTTACACGGAAAATTTTATTCAGTGGGTAAAAGTCGGGTAAATTTCTTTCTGGCTCCCTACCTGATTTTTTCCCGCCCGTACGCCTATGACGGCTGAACTAATTTCATTTCCTGTGTATCGGAACATAAAGCAAACAATATTTGCGAAACATAATTTAGTATGCTCAAATTCTCGAAATTAAAGTAAACAAGAGGCATATACATGCAATCAAAGGAATAATCCAGTACAATATAAAACAAAAACTTTCGCAAAAATTTAGCCACAACATTCAATAATCAAATAACTATTATCTAATAACTAGTTTTATCGCTTCCTTATATATTACTATCCATCCTTCCCGCTTTACATGCACCTATTTCCGCGAAAAATTACTCATATGTGAAGCTACATATAAATACTAGGACTTTACAATCACGTGCGAGACATATTACCACCCGATAGAGTCGCACATACGACAAAAGAATCCTATTTTTACTGGCTCGTATTTATGAATTCACAATTGTATGAATCGTTAGATTGTGATCAACGTGGATTTCTTAATACGCTCTCGTTTGATATAAACGTGACATTTTAGTTACAAGCTTGGAGATGGCTGTCAAAATTCAGCGAAGTTTATGTGCATGTCAGTTAGAATGAAATGACATGTGAAAACATTTAGCAAGATTGAGGCATCAAATGCGATATTATTTTCTTATCCAATCTTTTTTTGTTTTTGTTATCACGTTATTATTATTGACAGTGGCGGAAATCTTGGTGGGGCGGGGGGGGCGCCCCCCCCCCCACCACACCTTCCGGAAAATTGACGAATTTTCGGAAATTTTGATCTAAAAGAGGGCTAAAAACAGTCTTTTCGAGTGCAAATGGGGGGTACGTCGGAAATTTCAAAGTTTTGTCGGAAATTTAGGAGGCTTTGCCCCCCCCCCACACACCGGAAAAAGTGAATTTCCGCCACTGATTATTGACTGTTGTAGCACTATTTATTGGAAAGTTTGTATTTCAGCCGTTGGTACTTGTTACGGAATGGCTATGTAAAGCTATATATATAGTGTTAAACGTGGTTAAAAAATAAAAATATTTTGACTTTGTTTCTGATGACATTTGCCGACTCTCGACTTTTTACTCTCGATCGACTCTCGACTTTTTACTCTCGACTCTCGACTTTTTACTCTCGACTCTCGACTTTTTACTCTCGACTCTCGACTTTTACTCTTGACTCTCGACTTTTACTCTCGACTCTCGACTTTTACTCTCGACTCTCGACCTATACTCTCGACTCTCGACTTTTAGATACACTCGTTAATACACTATGAAAGTTACTGTGATCTAGTGATGGGCGATACCAGCTTTTTTGGTTTCGATACGATACCAGTCCGATACCACGAATTTTGGTCGATACCGATACCAAAATCGATACCGATACTCAATTTTTTCCATTATTAAAATAACTTTTAAAACAAGAACATTAGGGAGCTTTCATTTTTACAGCTAGGCGAGGGAGGAACTGATGTCTAATTCCATGCGAAAACTTGGAACCCCCAAGACAAAAGTTGATAAAAAATTATGACTCCCTATTTTTTTACTGAAAATTTTTTGACCCCTCATCCTAACTATTAATCCACATGGTGTCGTTTCCATAGCGTTTCAGGGCCGTAGGAAGCTCTTTTTGATTGGGGGAGGGGCTGAAATTGAGGGCCGAAGGCATGATGAAATTTTTAAATCTGGAGTCTCTGAAATGCCATTTCCTGGCCTTTGGGGGAAGATTTCACAGAATTCTGATGGTCAGAAAACAGCGTTTTAGTATATCAAAATTGACAATTTGGTAGTACTAAATGGGCGAAGGCATATTTAATTTACTATATGTTGGATAACTAGGATAAGTTGCAGGAAACTGTGGGTACTATCTTCATTCTTTGCAGTTTGTCATGGATAATGTAGCCGCTTAAAATTAATAAAGCTTAAAATTGATCAAGTTCTGCATGATTTTGAAGTCATGCAGACCTTGAAATCATGCATGATTTTGAAATCATGCTGCGGTCCTGCGTTTTCTTTCATTGATGTTTTCACACAAAAACGGGTAAAAACGAGGTCAATTGACAAACGTCATGGAAATGTTTTCCTATGGACAGTGTGAACAGAGCGTCAAATGAATTTTGCTTCATTGTTATAGATGACGAGATAGTTGATAGATTCTAGACATTTTACCATTCTTGATCCAAATATTTGCAAATTCAATAAAATTATATTGGTGATTTTTTCACTGATTATTTTTATGACCCCCTCCATTTATAACAAAATTATAAAAAGACCCACCCCTTTGAAGCATGTCAAAATTGGCTGACCCACCCCCAAATTCCTCCGCCCCCCCCAGCTAAAAAATTAATGCTCCCTTTATGTTTAAAACAAGTCAAAGAATACTCTAACTGGAGTACCTGCCAAATAATCGAACATAACATTTGCAATTATGATTTTAAATCCAAACATCAATGTTTTCCTAAAATATATTGCTAATTAGCTACATGTTTTTGTTTAAGAACAGCATCATGTCAACATTTTTTGCCTTCAAGGGTTTTCAGTCTGTTGCCTTCATGAAGTATTTAGCGATTGTTCAGCAATACTGACCAAAAACATCGCAGGCTCAAGTGGTATCGAATTACCGATACTTTTTGCGAGTATCGAAAGTATCGATACTTTTGTAAGTATCGATGATTTCGATACTTTTTCGATAGTATCGCCCATCACTAGTTGTTACTGTTTCACAATTTCCTAACACACAAAAAAGACAAAGGAAACATTTTTTCGGTTTCATGCATGGTTCTAATCAAAGTTCCATGAGTATTGTCCGGTATATATCTGGCCAAATTTTTCCAGATGTCTATTTTTAACCAGATACCATCATCTGGCACATCCCTACCAATTACATGGCGGACTTGAAACCCAGTGGTAGGGAAAGCTTTACAGTACTGGTAATACACTAAGCAATCACTGTGGAAGCAAAAATCCATGCTACAGTAGCATTGAGCGTTGCTTTATCATACTATAAATACACGCTTCCGGAAAGTATGTCACCTTGGCTATACAGTAGAGCCTCGTATTCATGATTAGACATCAGGCTTAGCTTTAACCACGACTAATGTCACATACACAAAAACTTGTCTCTATAGCCAAAGTGACATACTTTCTGGAAGGGTGTACAACACCTACAGTATGTGCCAGTGTAAGTATGGTATCAATAATAACAAGCTTTCATTGGTAGGAGTGCAACTACTGTACCTGAAAAATGCAAGCCAAAATTCAATGAGCACTTCGAGCGAAGGCCCTGTTCTTCTACTGATTTCCAGACAAAGGGTCTTCGCTCGAAACATCGAATTTTGCATTGTATTTTTAAGGTACTAGAATCCCTACCAACAAAAACTTTGTATTACACCTAACTGACATGATTCATACGCAGGTGTAAAGAGTGGCTTGAACAACAGAAGTTAGATTATGAAGCTGAACTTAACAGCAGTAAGTCATGCACCGAACAAATTCCTAGCTTGCTTGTCTGGCATTAGACATGAGAGTATCATACCACAGGAACATACATTGGTGCTCATTGTAGCCTACTATCCTAGGATCTGGTGAACGCCTTATTCCAGAAGGCATTTTAAGCCTCAAGGGATACATGAGTGGTATATAACCCTTTAAGTGGCATTGCATCCTACTTTGTTATTTTATTCTGTCTAATGCCAGATTATTTTATGTGTCCTCGCCCGGGCATAGCCACAGGAGTAATGGGGGTGTCCGAACTCCCCCCCCCCCCCACTTGCTCATCAAGGGAAGGTGTTGGCATTCATGAGTTAAATAACTTGTTTCAACTAATCAATAAAATATTTTAATGAAAATTTAAAGTGAGAAAAGTGGAACAGGATGAGCTTGAAGGCCACAGAGAACCAAATATGGAAGAATTATGTGAAAGGTTTTTTTATTTAATTGGGTTTACAAGTTTATTTCAGTCTATGGCGTAGATTTTTTACATCTTAAGCATGGCATACACAAAGACGACACATTTTATATTTTGCAGTATATTACAACTTCAAGAACAGTTGCTAGAAGTTTCATCAAACCACTCAACCAAACAATACATTCTGGAAAGGTACTGTAATTTGGTTTACTAACATCGTATATGTACAGTAATTCAATGGTAACTTCTGACCTGTACAAGTACTGTATTCATTATTCTGGTATCCCTCCCTGAAATCCAGTATCCCTGACATGCATATGCATAGTGACATGAAATCGTGCAAATTGTCAATCCTACTATCAGCTTGACAACCTTAATTATTACATCTTGTTTGCAGATTAACCAACTCGGTCTCACTCTGATACATTGTGTTACAGGTTGCTTTCAAGTTATGTGAAAATGAAAATGTTGTTTTCTACGACAGACCCAGAAACTGGAGCAAGTGTACCGAACGAAGAGTATGTGTCATACAATACGGGCTTCAGATACTAAGACATAAGTATCCGCTTGCATCCTCTCAAGCTCACTTCTTACAGTATACTGTATTTTGCCTTAATCTGAATTTATTCTGCCCCTTTATTGCAATATTGATTGATAGCCATGATCTATTAGAGGACATGCACTGCCAAATTTGCTGAGTACTCTACCTGATTTCTGCAATTGAAATTTATCTCCAATTAATTAGGGATTTTGCTTATCAAGTTGATGAACAGCAGAGATTGTGCAAAGATATTCAAAAGTATCAGCAGGTATACATACACCATATGCATCCAAATTTTGACCTGTTCTTTTCATTTCTGGTATTTATATAGATTATATAATCATATAGAGTGCTAACGTCAGATTTTAAATTGACTCAAAACGCGTGATACACGAGTCGATCTGTGGTGAGAAACAAACTGAACATGTTAAATAGATTTTTTTCATATTTCAGGCACTGGAAGAAGAACAGGTCACTTTGAGAGACCTAGAGGGACAACGTACTGGTAAGATCAGCCCTCGAACTCATTATTCATTAAGGAAATTTGCCAACCATGCGGCTTACTACAGTATCTCATGTGATTCCATAATATACATTTCAAGTCAAGTGAAACTACTTCCCAACGCAACAAAAAGAATATTACACCTGTGACCTGTTACATATATTTGCACTTTTGACCATTTATTAAATTTTAATTTTCACAGAAGCGACAAGGATAAATGAGAAATTGAGCACAAAATTGCAGGTAACGTGTTAAAGACTGCACTACAATATATGTATACAACTCTAGAGACTAGAGTAGTATAGCTCCTCCATTTTGTCGCTTATATATTTTAACATGCTTATACGAATTCAGAAAGGCAATTTGATGGCGAATTCATTAAGTGTTTTTTGTCAGAGGCGTAGCCTGGATATTTTGCCAAGTGGGGCCGGAAAAACTAGGAGTGGGGAAGGTGGGCAGCTTCACTAAAGCATATTAAGACCAGGGAGTACTGAAGGGGTGGGGCAAGTCGAAGTTTCGGCCAGGTCAAATGTATTATCAATATATTTCAGCTTCGATATGTACAGTAAGTTACACCAGGGCTCGAAATAGCGGGCTGCCAATGGCCGGAAGCAGGCCATATTTTAGAAATGGCAGGCAAAAACAAATTTGAACTGCCAAAGTAAAAAAAAATGGCAGGTGAAATTCTATAGATATATTTCATTTGCTTACCACAACTCATATATACTAGATCATTTAGTTGACTAAATACGTTTATATTTGAAATGTAAATCCAGGTTTACTGTAGTAAAATAGACAAGTTTAAAAACAATAAAATGCATATCATGAAAACATTGATTTTTACAATATGACTCATATGAGACATCGCCATTTTGGCAGTTCAATGAATAAAAATGACAGGCTAAAATTTATTTCACCTGCCAAAACTTTTTTAGACTGGCAGGCCATATTTTTTCTCTACTTCGAGCCCTGAGTTACACTTCAATTAAACCGTGCAAATACCATATTCATTAAGCCAATTCGGAGTTTCCACAATTCCACTGCCTATGCAAATGATGCGTCGGGATAAATTACAGTTGAATTATAACATGTACATGTACCTGAGACCATGGAAGCATCAAAATATTATGCGTGTCAAAGGGTATGTATTTACTGTAGCTGTTCAATCATCGTTTGTGTTTCACTTATAACCACAATAGAATTGCAAATTAAATCCTTTTTGTACCGGCATATTTTGCCTGCTGTGTAAAGCAAAATAAAAGTGCACCTATAAAGGGAATATATTTTCTAATTTATAACGGATCAATCGTGCTGAAAACGATTGTTAATTCTTTGAGCAACTTTTTGCATATATCAAATGATGATTGAACAGTTGAATACTTAATTGATATGCATATTCTAATAATCTAATCCAGTCTCAGCTACATGTTATAGTTCAATGCAATAGACAATTCCCCGATTATAGACTAATTTTAAAACTATACGCAAGGAAATGCAAATAAATCACCACAGCTAGAAAGAGTATACTAAAATGAGTAAAATTGCAAAGTTTGGTTGCGAAATGTTGTAAAATGCGGAAAATATATCCTTGAAAAGTTCGCAAATTTTGTATACTTTTGTATTGCAGCGGAAATTGGTACCATTTTCGGCCCAAATTATTATGTGGTAGAAATTTCCGCACGCAATACAATAGTATACAAAATTGGCGAACTTTGCAAGGCTATATTTTCCACATTTTACAACATTTCGCAACCAAACTTTGCAATTTTACTCATTTTAGTATGCTCTTACTAGCTGTGGTGATTTATTTGCATCTCCGTGCCTAGTTTTAAAATTAGTCTATAATGGGAATTATCTTTTGCGTGGCCAAAATTGCGTGATTTAATTCTTAGCGTGACGTAATATTCTCGCGTGCGTGACTGTTCAAAATTAACAAAATATAGGTTTGACGAGTGTTCTAACTATGTTTCAACTAGAATACATGACACTGTTGGGAAATCATTAAGAACAGCTAACCACCAATGTCGCGTGAGGCGGCGTGACTGCCAACTCTCATATGCCCAGGCGCTTTAAATAATTATAATACATAAAGTATTCAGGATGGTGCTTGATTAGTTATGACTTATGTGCATTGTCATGTTGATTGATATTGTATTTCAATGTTAATGCATATTGCTGTTATTGCATAATATATACGCCGAGGGAAAACCCTAATTATTTCTTTCCAAGCATATTAATATAAGGTCGGTCAACACATACCGCCCCCATTTATTTTATGTATCCATTTCACAACTTTTGGATAACTCATATGCCTACTGACTTTTATCGTTCTAGTAAACGTATAAAATAGGCTATGCTACCTTTCCCTGGCGTTCTTGTTAATACCACAAAGTTTTGTAAAATATATGAACGTCAATATGTCGTAAGAAGACGTCAACGTTGCTATGGTAATGTTGTCATGCATAATTAATTTGACTGAACTTTGCATCGTATGATCACTCAGGCCTGATGATCACTGATGCGAATTACCGTGTGACCTTTGATCAGATCACGGCGCATACTGTAAAGCTATATCAACACACTAAAGTCTTGTGAGAGCAACTGCAAGAGTCAGTGTTCAATCATGAGTTGGCCATCGGCCATTTTCCGACCAAAACGCCAGTATGGCTGGCTGCCTACTGCTCTGCACGGTTCACATTTATAATAACAAAAACTCTTACTAATCTGTTATGCTAGAGGGGGTGGAGGGGACTGGAACAACACCTCCCCCCCCCCCCCC